AAGACTAATAAAATCAATGAACTGGTAAGACTATTTCAAAAATAAGTAAATAAAAGGTAGAGGGAGATAAAGAAACACAGGTAGCCAAAAACTGGAAATGAAGAGGAGGGTAATATCAGTATATATGCCGCAGATATTAGAGAGATTAAAGGATATGATGAACAACTTCTAGCAAAAGTTTTTTTAAAATATATGAAGTGGACAACATTAAATTGGACAACTCTACCCAATTAGAGCAAGAAGAAATAAGGTCTAGAAAAAAGTAAATAAAATTATTTTGTTTTGTTCACAGACAAGATGAATGTCTGCAAAAGAAAACCCAAAATACCAATGAATAATTATTGAGTTACAGAATTTAGAAAGATTACAGGATTCCAAATCAATAAGTAAAAATCAGTTGAAATCTTATATATCAGCCTTTAAAAACCTTGGCAAAGGGAAGGATTTTTTTTTTAATATATTTTTTTTATTGATTTTTTACAGCGAGAAAGGGAGAGGGACAGAAAGCTAGAAACATCGATGAGAGAGGAACATCGATCAGCTGCCTCCTGAACACCCCCCCACTGGGGATGTGCCCGCAACCAAGGCACATGCCCTTGACTGGAATCGAACCCGGGACCCCTCAGTCCGCAGGCCGACGCTCTATCCACTGAGCCAAACCGGTCAGGGCGGATTTCTTAAACAAGACACAAAAAGTACCAACCTTTAAAGGACATATAAGATAAATTTGACATTAAAATTTAAGACTTGTGTTTATCAGATGGAAAAACAACCCACAAACTAAGATAAGACACTTGCAAAAAAAAAAAGGACACATATGTAATACCCTTTGTAATACTTTTAGCAATAAAAAAAAAAAAAGACACTTGCAATAAATATAACTGACAAGGTTATTACCCAGAATATATAAAGAACTCCTATAAATTACTAAGTCATAAAAGAGTAAACATGAATAGCTAATAAATGAAAAGAGCTCATACACAGTAGTTATCAGGGTAATGCAAGTTAAAACTACAATGAGAAATTAGTTCAAACCTATCAGATTAGTCCAGCCAGCATGGCTCATTGGTAGAGCGTCAACCTATGAACCAGGAGGTCATGGTTTGATTCCCCGTCAGGGCACATGCCCAGGTTCTGTGCTCAATCCTCAGTGGGACTCGTGCAGGAGGCAGCCAGGATAGAGCGTCGGCCTGCGGACTGAAGGGTCCCAGGTTCGATTCCGGTCAAGGGCATGTACCGTGGTTGCGGGCACATCCCCAGTGGGGAGTGTGCAGGAGGCAGCTGATCGATTGTTTCTCTCTCATCGATATTTCTAACTCTCTATCTCTCTCCCTTCCTCTCTGTAAAAAATCAATAAAATATAAAAAACATAAAAACATTGTTAAAAAAAGAAACGTTAAAAAAATAAAAATGAAAGGAAAGCTGAAATGTAATTCTGCAATGAAAGTCAAATCTGCTTTACAAAATACAGTCTGCAGTGACCTCTAGAAATTTTATTTTTAAATTACAAACTGACTATACAGGGCAAAACATCATATAATTAGAGAATTTTTATCTAGAGGAGATTATGGAGATCAGATAGTACGTCTTAAATCCTAATAAACAAGGTCCACAGAGGTCCCATGTTTTGTCCAAGTTCACACTCAGGTCAAGAGCAGAGCCAGAAATAGGACCCAGCCTCCAGACAAAATTCCCAACCATTACGCCATACTGACTCTCAGCATCATTCCAACATCATGCCTCCAGGGTTCCCGTAATCCAAGGTTTCAAAACCCCACATCAAGGTAACAGTTTCCTTTAACACTTACTCTGTCTTTGTCGTGCAGCATATCAGCGTAAGAAGATCTAAAAAACAAAAAGACAGGTCAGAAACCTCTGCTAAAAGTAATATACATCAACATATGAGCATATTCACAGATATATAAGTGCATCCTTAAATCAGATGAGACAAACATCCAGGCAGGTTTTAAACTATTTTAAAGGAATTATGTGTGTGTGGTGGGGGTGGGGGGCGGGGTCACGGGGTATGGAAAGTAACCTCCCAGGGTGATGTGATCATAAATTCCTAAGTTAACATACCTTTGAAATAAACCACCCTCAAGAAAGCACATACATAATCTTATTAAACTATCCTATAATCCAATCAGCACCTTGCTTTTTCCCCGTCTCCTTGTAATCTTATTTCCTTCCTTAATTTCAAATGCATAGAAGAAGCTATAAAACTGTTATTCTCTGGAGCATTTGAGATCTTGTTCCCGGCATATGTGGTCAGTTTGGTTCAAATAAAAATTCTCTACAGATTTGGAATTTCATATGTCAACAGTTATATTCTATAATTCTTTGATACTAAATAAAAAACCTCACGCAAGTATTTATTTTTTCAGCAAAGAACCTAAGACCTAAGAATGCTCTAGTAGAAAGCCCTGTCACAGTAACTCCAAAGTCACTAACATACTGATCATTTTATACATTACACATTTTTTAATTAAATCTTTATTGTTGAAAGTATTACATATGCCCTCCCCCCCACACACTGACCCCTTATAACCCACCCCCATAAACATTTTTTCCTCAGACTAACTTAGACTGAGTTTAATACTTAACATAATCTTGCATAATTTGCACAGTGGGATAATCACAGATGTAACACTAGGAGGAGGAATTGGGGAAAGGCAAAGTATATTATCTGCTGTATATTCAGCATTTTCCTTCATGTCATCAGGAAAAACTAAGAGTTTACCAAACTATAGAGTGTTAAAGGGAGGAGAGTTGATTATCTATATTTCTACCATAGCAATTACAAATTTGAGAACCTCTAGCAGGATCAGGATGAGCCCCCAGAACTCGGCAGGCCCAGCCCAAAGATGCTTTCTGAGTGTTCCAAGTGAGAGCTGAGGCACTCCCACTAAACAGAGGACCTCCGGCTTCAGATTCACTGCAGAGCTTCTTTTAAACGCAGATTCACAGCATACACACAAAGAGATTCTGATCCAGATCGGGCTGGAAGTCTGGAAATCTGCACCTGAACTGGTGTTCCACGCAACTGTGACCCAGGCAAGCCATACTCTACACTTTGAGAAGCTCTGCACTAAAAGAATAGGGTGTTTTTATGGCACACCAAGGTTTTTATATCTGAACCCTCCTATGAATGCTTAGTTGAAATCTGGTCCTTTATACCTTTCTCCACTTTTTTAAAAAAATATATTTTATTGATTTTTTACAGAGAGGAAGGGAGAGGGATAGAGAGTTAGAAACATCGATGAGAGAGAAACATCGATCCGCTGCCTCCTGCACACCTCCTACTGGGGATGTGCCCGCAACCAAGGTACATGCCCTTGACCGGAATCGAACCTGGGACCTTTCAGTCCGCAGGACCTTTCTATCCACTGAGCCAAACCGGTCAGGGCTTTCTCCACTTTTTAAGAGGCACTTTCACTCCCCATCTTCTCTGTCTCATCACCCACTCACTCCCCACCACTGCACTGACATCACTCTCCTGAAACACCATTAGCTCACTCCAACTGCTAACACCCAGGACTTCTCTGGCCCTGCTGGACATGCCCTCTTCCTGAACCACTCTCCTCCTTTCTCCTCTGTGACCACTCCCTCCTGGTTCTCCTGCCTCCTCAGCTATTCCAGAATTCCTTCAGCCTTCTACCTTTCTCATTCCACACTGTCTCTGAGAGTCTTGTTTCCACCCTCACTAACAACTGCAAACTGTCTCCAGACCCACATACCTGTCCACTGGCTTCTCTACTGGATGTCCAAATACCTACTCTCCATCAACTCCCCTGCCCAACACCACCAATTCCTCCTGTGTTCTTCCTCTCAGGAAATGGGAGCTCCATCTACCTAGTCACTCTAATCAGAAAGCTTGATGCTTCCTGAAATTTCTCTCTCCTTCCATCACTGCATCCTATTAGTTATTATATTGTACTAGAGGCCCAATGCACAAAATTTGTGCAAGAGTAGGCTTTCCTTCCCCCAGCTGCTGGCACCAGCTTCCCTCACAGCCCCGACTTCGTCTGGAAGAACAGCAGTCTAATTAGCATATTATGCTTTTATTATTATAGATATTGAGGAATATATTATTATATTTAGGCTCAGAGAAGTTAAGTAGCTTGGCCAATGTGAGAGTTAAGAAGGGGCAGAGCCCACATGCATACTCATGCTCCTCTTCTTATATTCGCTACCAACTTTAAAACATGACCTCCGCCTACCTTTTCAGCATCCTTTCTCATCACACTCCAGCACACTGAACTGACTGCCACTCCTCTGGAGTGGCCATTTCTCTCCATGTAGGTATCAACCCCCCAGGCCAGCTGGTTCTTGGTGCAAATGGGCATAAACTTTTGTGCCCATTTCCACTGGCCTTTATCTCTCTGTACCATCATTTGTTATGTCTGTCTCTTCCACAAAACTACCTGATCCTTAAGGATGGGAACCCTTTCTTCTTCATTTTGGTACTCACTGCCCTAGCACAGTGTTGTCATGTTGTATGCACTTAATGATTGCTAAACAACAGTAACTCACATACTTTTAAATATCCCTTCAAAGAAAAGAAAAGGCAATTTTCAACTTTTCAGGAGAATTTAACTAAATGAGGAATGTCATCATTTAAGTGGCACCAATAAATAATTAACTTTCATAAACGCTTCTACTACTACTGAACCTTGGGTCTTCTTTGCTCCACTAGACAGATCCTCTGACTTCCCACACAGGCATGACTCAGCCTAACTCCCACACAAACCTACTTGGCTGAGCACACCTGCTTGTGACCTACACCTGCCCAGAAGCACTGGGTCATATCCTATTGCACACTCAGACTAAATTTCAAGGCATCTGCTTTGAGATCAAGTGCCCCATCCAGCTGCAGCCAACTGTGAACAAACGCCTGTTACCTGGCAATCTCCTGGTGGTAATCATAGTGCTCATCTTCCTCCAGCCACTCCACAGATCCTGTGGTCGGATTGGCCCGCCCACAGAAGATCTTCATGCTGCCAATCAGCTCCTCAATTTTATCACTCGCCAGCTTACTTCTTATGGACAGGTCAGACGGTCAGAAACCTATTCACATTATAATGCCCAAGAATGAAAAGAAAAAAAAAATGTTAAAAGACAAGAAAACAAAGGGGGGGGGGGTGTCTAAGAAATTGACAAAAATATCAAAACCACTGAAAATATTTGTTAATCGGAATTTTCATTTTTCCAGCAAGACTTCCTTGGTTTTATATTCCCCATATAACATTAAAAACTATAATACGCAAGTTCATAAAACTATCTGGAAACTTGAGCAGTCCTCAGTGATTCCAACAGGAACAAATGAGCCTCCAAGGTACAGCTGGGCATAGCCTCAGGTAAAGGTAGGTGAGAAAGGAAATAAAGCAGAGGAAAGGGCTAGTAGGAAAGAACAAAGAGAGGTTGGAGTGGTGGTAAAGGAGTGCCACTAAAACTACCTAAGGATATTAGACATTTAGTTTAAGGAAAAATACAAAGATAGAGCAATTCAAACAAATTAGGAAAACCTTCATCTAAACAAGTAAGTCACAGCTATACACAAACATGAATAATCCCAGGAATATAATGTTGAGTCATAAAAAAAAAACAAGTCACAGAATACATATAATAAGTTCACATTTATATAAAACTAGAGGCTCGGTGCACGAATTCATGCACCAGTGGGGTCCCTCGGCCTGGCCTGCGGGATTGGGCCGAAACTGGCTCTACGATATCCCCTGAGGAGTCCCAGATTGTGAGACGGCACAGGCACCAGTGCACGATCAGGGCCGGGGAGGGACGCAGGTTGGCTAGCCAGGGAGGGACTGCGGGAGGGCTCCAGGGCGTGTCCAGCCTGTCTGGCTCAGTTCTGATCAGCCGGAACCCAGCAGCAAGCTAACCTACCAGTCGGAGCATCTGCCCCCTGGTGGTTGGTGAACATCATAGCGAGTGGTTGAGCGGACTTAGCATATCATTAGCATATTATACTTTGATTGCTTGAACAGCCCACCTGACAACCGGACAATTAGCATATTAGGCTTTTATTATATAGGATGTATAATTATTCAAAACAGAACAACAGCCCTAGCTGGTTTGGCTCAATGGATAGAGCATAGGCCTGCGGACTGAAAGGTCCCAGGTTCGATTCCGGCCAAGGGCACATGCCTGGGTTGCAGGCTTGATCCCTAGTAGGGGGCATGCAGGAGGCAGCCAATCAATGATTCCCTCTCATCATTGATGTTTCTATCTCTCTCTCCCTCTCCCTTCCTCTCTAAAATCAATAAAATATATTTAAAAATAACAGAACAACACATGATTTAGGGATCACACTAAAGTGCATAGCAGGGAATAGGATAGTAGGAAGGAAAAAGGATGGGATCAAGAGGGCCACACAGCCCCAGCTGGTGTGGCTCAGTGGTTGAGGGTCAACCTATGTACCAGGAGGTCACAGTTGGATTCCCGCTCAGGGCACATGTCTGGGTTACAGGCTCGATCCCCAGTGGGGGGCATGCAGGAGGCGTCCAATCAATGATTCTCTCTCATCACTGATGTTTCTCTCTCTCTCTCATTCTCCCTCCCTCTCTGAAATCAACAAAAATAAAAAATAAAAATAAATAAAGAAGGGCCACACAGGGGACTTTAAGAGCAGGTGAATTCTAAAATTGGGTGGTGGGAATACAGGTGCTCATGATACTGTCATTCTTCATGCCTCACTATTTTTCATAATAATTACTTCTTATCTACTCAGTATTTAATTTTAAAAGCAATTTTGAAAAACCTTTCTTCATTTAAAAAAATTTGTTTCAAATAAATAAAATGTTATCAGACAGATAAAATGTCCTGTATGGCCTTTTTGCTCAAAGATATTTATATCTGAGAGACAGGAACACCACAGCTCAAAGTCTGAAGGCACCTCTCAGCAGGAATGGAGTCTCCCAATGCCCCCTTCCTCTGACATTCAGAAACAGCAAGTGTTCCACATGCTCCTTCATTCTTGTTAAACACTGACCCATCTTCAGGAAACATGATTATTTTTTGTGAAGGAGGTCCCCTCAGGCATTTTGTTGGCCACTTCTTCATTTAAAAAAATTTGTTTCAAATAAATAAAATATTATCAGAGAGATAAAATGTCTTGTATGGCCTTTTTGCTCAAAGATATTTATTTCTGAGAGACAGGAACACCACAGCTCAAGTCTGAAGGCACCTCTCAGCAGGAATGGAGTCTCCCAATGCCCCCTTCCTCTGACATTCAGAAACAGCAAGTGTTCCACATGCCCCTTCATTCTTGTTAAACACTGATCCATCTTCAGGAAACATGATTATTTTTTGTGGAGGAGGTCCCCCCAGGCATTTTATTGGCCAGAGTTATTGGCTTTCTCTTGAAATTACCAAGACTAAGTAAATATTGAATTTTTATACAAGAGGATGGGAAACACTTTTCTGAAGACTCAGGTGATCACTAGCTTGGTTCAACGTAGTCCATCTGTCTTTCAGCAAAACTCTACTTCTAGCTGAAGCCGGTTTGGCTCAGTGGATAGAGCGTCGGCCTGCGGACTGAGGGGTCCCAGGTTCGATTCCGGTCAAGGGCATGTACCTGGGTTGTGGGCACATCCCCAGTGGGAGATGTGCAGGAGGCAGCTGATCGATGTTTCTCTCTCATCGATGTTTCTAGCTCTCTATCTCTCTCCCTTCCTCTCTGTAAAAAATCAATAAAATATATTTTGGGGGGAAAAAACCAAAAAAACTCTACTTCTAACACCCCAGAATATCTACTTTCTAATCCAGGGGCTCTCAAACTTCCCGACAACCCCAGTAATATATTTTACACTGAGACACAATACATACAAACACAAACATAACCAAGTTTCACAAAACGGTACATATTTAGTCTTGCCATGGGCAAGGCCCTCATATATTTTATCCTATTTTCATTTTATTTTTTAATAGACCACGATCCACTAAGCTGATTTCATAACTCAGCAATGGTTTGCAACCTAGTGTGCAAACCATTGCTATAACCAGCTCTGTACATCTCACATGCTGATATCCTTTTAAAAAGACAGTATCTAGAACTACCAGAGTCGGTAATGTGCTTTAGAAAACTGTCCAACACAGGCTGCAGTGGGAAGAAATGACCACATTTCAGCGAATGTTCAGGGAAGGCTTAAAAGATGGGTAGGGCCCTGGCCGGTTTTGCGCAGTGGTTAGAGTGTTGGCCTGAGGACAGAAGGGTCGTTGCAGGTTCAATTCCCAGTCAAGGGCACATAACTCAGTTGCAGGTTCAAACCAATCCGGCGGGGCCCTGTGAAAGGCGACCAATGCATGTGTCTCCTCTCTCCCTCATTTCTCCCTCCCAGAAAGCTTAGACTACCATGCGCGGCGGATAAATCAGCTGCCGAGAAACTGAGCAGCCAGGCGCACAGGTTGGTGGGGTCCGTTGTGCGGAGGGTCTAGAAACCCTTATCCCGTGGAATCCCTTTTTGCCTCTGATGTTGCTGACTAGGATCACAGTCTTTTCAGAACCGCAGAGAAGTCACTGGTTTCGTATTAACCTAAATGAATGCTTCAGTAGGGAACCACGTCCTGTAACCTCTCTACGAACATCTACGGATAAACATCTTCCCCTGTTATTATGACGTGTCCCTCCCAAAAGAAGACCACACTCCAGGCTCAGGGGACAGCCTGACCCCCTCCTCATTCTCCAAGAGCTGTCAACTAATGCGGACATTTACGAGGGAATGGCAACCACCACGCCAAGCTCTGGCGCTGAGGGGGGAGTCTAGGTACGTCCTGTCAACCCGTTCATCGCAGAGGCGCTTCCCCCACGGGCCCAGCAAGCGGCCATCACCAGAGAGGGCGGCAGAGCCGGGGCCCGCCTGAAACCCCGCTCTTCCGCCGGCCCGGGCGCTCGGAGCCGCCCCACGCGGACCCTCGAAAGGTTCTCGGAAGCCCCGCAGAAGTGCGTACCGCGGCGTCCGAGAACGCCCACGCCAGGCCCTGCCGCCGGAGCCCTGCCGCGGGGAACAGGACGCGGGCTGCATCCCGGACTCCGATGCGATTCCCACCTACCCAACATGCTCAGCGCCTCACCGGCCGCGGACGCCGCTCCGCTCACTTCCGCCGCCAGGGCCACATTCCCGCGGCCGGCGTAAGGGGGCGGGACCTTCCTACGCCGGATGAGCGTGCCGGGGGCGGGACCCGGAAGTAGAACCTGAAGTCTTTCCCGTCGCACCCTACGCGTTCCCACACTGCTTCGCGACCGCCGCTATGGAGGCTGGTCGCACGGCTATCCTCCGCGTGAAGCGGAAGCGCAGCGAGGAGCCTGCCGAGGCCCTGGTCCTCGCCTGTAAACGCCTCCGGAGAGATGCGGTAGAGTCGGCGGTCCAAAAGACGTCCCCGGAGGGTCTGGAGAAAGCAGCAGAGAAAAATGTCTTCCAGTTGGTGGCTACCGTGTGCTCCCAGGTATCGGGCGGGGGTGGAGCCTGAGTGGAGGGGCTCTGAGGGCGCCGCCGGGATGACACTGTCTCCCTGACCCCCACACGATCCCCTGCTTACGCCGGCTCCCCTTCCCTGTTGCCCTCCAGGAGGACCCGGTCCAGCCGCTCCTGCGCGCTCTGCCCCCACCCTGGGGCACCCATCAGCGTATCCGCCACGACCTCCGCGCGTCGACTCGGAAGATCCAGCAGGAGGGTCGCTACAGGGTAGTCTCTAGCCGCCGACCCTCGGGCCTTCTCTCGGATGACCTGGAGTCCGAGGACGCGCGGGAAAACCCAGAAGCCGGCGGTGACGCAGGCTTCCAGCTGTTGGATCTGGTCCACGAAGAAGGAGACCCTGAGGCCGCTGCTACTGCCACTGCCGCCGCCACCGCCACCGCCACCGCCGCCGCCGCCGTCGCCTCCTGCAAAGTGAGTGCACGCCCCGCGGAGGAGAGCTGGGCTTCTCCCGACAAGTAGTGCCAGGAATCTGGGCGCTCAGACGGCACGCAGTTGAGATGCACAGACGGCACACAGTTGAGATGCACATGGCTTCACCTTTTATTAACGGATGATCCCTCCGGCTTGCTAGCCTCG